GGAGTCCCTCATATGCATAAAGTGGGAATATATTGATGTAAGACGTATTTTATTGTTTTATGAGGGAATTGACTTCAAGATTTATTTATTTTCCCAAGTATCTGTAATCCACCCAAAGCATACTTGGATTCTTTTTGTTAATACGAAGTGAATATCTCCATATTTCTTGATGTGGTCCATTGAATCACTAGTTATCGGATTTTTCCCACAAACTAAAGATAAAATGACAGCAACAATGTTATTTAACTGTAAATCATGTAATTTAAATATGTGACTTAAATAATACTTATCCTTGCCTTTACAACTGGTGTGTCATACATGGGTAGGAATAAATATGTACCTTATTATATTATCATTAACTATACTTACTAATCGTATGTGTAATTTATCGAATTCATGATGCCTGTGAACCGGCACCCCTCATGTGCAAAATGAGAATGTATTATTATTATCATTATTATTATTACCATATCTGCTGATCAGCATGCGCCACCCTCCCTCCTTCTTGATGTTAAGGTCTGAGATTTCTTTTGCAAACTGCAGTTGCAGTATTGCATTGCTTTAAGCCCGTCCCAATCATTCAGCATGCCGCACATTAATAGCTTTCATGACAAGCGCTTCCCATTAGGTCACCAAATACATCGATACCTGAGGACATTCTTAGCAGTATCACCTTTATATGATTGGGACGGAGTCAAAGCAATCCAGTGTTACAACTGCAGTCGGTGGCACAGTGGTTAGGACTCTCGCCGACCATGCACATGGTTCGAGGTTCGATCCCCTGCCGACGCACACCTGATATCTATGGTCGGCCTGCAAAATTTGGGCTACCGATATCCGTGCTGAAAATTCCATACTTGTACTGAAAATACAGTGTGGCATCAAGCCGTAACCAAAATAAAAATAAAAAATAAAAAGATCTCAGAGCTTAATGTCAAAAAAGGAGGGAGGGTGGTGCATGCTGATCAGCAGATATGGTAGTGTTCACAAATTTGAATCGCTTATAAAACTTATAAAAAAATAATGCTATCGCTCCTAACACCTACAGGCCTGCTCAGTTTCTTGTCAAGATGCTACCCCATGGGCCGTACACAAGTTCACCAGACATCCTACAGGTCACCATATCCAACAGGTTCTAATCCTTCAAGCCACTTCTATCTGATATTTCACTTATAAGCTTCACGACAATCCTTCTATCTAATTACTATTATACTCTATTTTATCTGAACTTCCTAGTGTAGTGAGAGATGGTTGCTAGCCAAATCGATCGACAGTAATTGGGGTCAGTGTTTATGTCTCAAATATTAGTCATGTGAAAACAAGGTCAAAGATGGACAGCAGACTGCGTGGGCGGATACAGTTAACATGTAGATGAACTGACACAGCCACAAAGATATGCAAGGTTAACTTTGTGTGAGAAACAACCAATCAAAAGACTGTATTCCCTACTAACATTAATCTACCATAATGTACATCAAAATCTATAAATATGTGTTGATTTTCCTTAATAAACTATCTGTTGCCTGACTCCTGCCTTCTGTCGTTACACTAGGACTTTAATAAAGCTGAAATTTACTTTTTTCTCATTTACACTCTTCTCTCGCATAACGTTCGGTTGCTCTGATGATAAAAAAACATAACAACACTCATGTTCGAGAATAACTATATTTTCATAGAAAACGTCACAGTTTTCCATGGTAAGACCAATACGGTTAGCATCATACATTGCAAATGTGCACTATCATACCAAGTACTGTATAGCTCATTCGTGTATTTTTCTTGTAAATATACTTCCAATAATGTATTATTCATGATTGCATTTTATACCACTTTGTAGCTGTGCGGGATTTTCTCCTCTTCCTGAAAGAGCGTTCAAGCACGCGGGGCCACAGTACTCACTCGAATATATGTTGTTTATCGATGGGCCATAACTATCATCAGGGAATGGAACGAAGTTTGGGTTGTCGCTCAACTTCGATGGTGACCTTAGTAAACGGTTTACAATTTAACATTTACAAGAACCTGTTCTGATTGCTTGTACAATAATTGAACAATTTAAACTTTAGAAAAAGCATTAATTTATGATACTTCAGGATTGTAATTTATAACGTTACTGATTGTGCCTGTAAAAATGACATGCATTTCATGTAAACTTACCCGTTTATACGAAATATATATATTATTATACATGTATACAAGTATTTTTTATAAACGCCTAAGAAAATTGCGTTTAATTTAAGAAGTATAAGAAGTATAGAAGTAGCTAGTATTACAGCAACTAAGTTGTAGTCTATTTAGCAGAGTAAAACGTGTAGTGGAACAATTAGTGATAAAATTATTTATAATGATCTTGAAGAAAACAGCCGGTTAACAGAGCTGGTTATGCTAAATTTTCATGACCGATTTTCATACGGTGCGCATTAGACATTACAAAGTAATTATTCAACTCATATAATGTTAAAAATACTGCGAAATATTATAAAAGTTATACGTTTTAGGAAGGTGTATGAGAAGAGGTGGTTATTGGCTGAGTAAAGTCATTTAGACACAAAAAAAGCATTGTATTATTAAATGTATATAAATATGTAAAATATTAAAAGGTGTGGTTGCTAATATAATTATTTATAGAATTACTCATACTAACGTGAATTATTGAAGATAAAAGAGAATAGAAAATCAGTAAATTATTTAAACGTTCGCTACGTAAGTAGTAGAGTCGAGTTATACGCATGTGACCATACTGAAGACTGGGCCGGCTTTCATTTGCCATTTTAACAACAGTTGTGGTCTTTTAGACAAGCTAGGGTGGACATGTTAATGTATCTTCCTAGGCTCCGTTTGAACTCATCGGGGTTTTCACAACATCTAATTTCAGATGGTAATTGGTTCCATAATGGCTACTCCCCGAATAAACCCGGCAATATTACTAAAAAAGCTACAGAGACTCACTCCTGGGAAGTCCCCAGACCTTGATGACATCGAGTCATCTGTTATGAAACAGTGCGCCGAAGCTCTTTGTAGGCCCTTATGCGACTTGTTCCAACACACGATGGATTCAGAGAAACGGCTAAGGGAGTGGAAAAGAGCCATCCTTTCTCCGATTTTCAACGATGGTGACAGGCAAAATGCGCTACTCCCAGTAGTATCAAAAGTACTGGAGAGAATAATTGATGATCAAATCGGGGAAGACATCGATAGGACTAATATACTCCATGAAGCCCAACTCGGTTTTAGGAAAGGTAAATCCTGTGTGACAAACCTACTGTCAGCTTGGGACGATTGGACATTATGCTGGGATGTAAATATTTCAATCCATGTGATCTTTCTACATACTGAGAAGGCATTTTGCACGGTTCACCATTACCTTCTCCTAAACCAAATAAGTCAGACAGGTATAGGTGAACCGCTTCTGTCATGGTTTAAGGACAACCTAGCTGAAGGGAAATTCCGCACTAAGGTCAGTCGAGTCCGGTCATCCTGACACAGCTTGTAATCTGGAGTGTTGTAGGGCTCTATCCTAGGACCACCAATGTTTTTGATTTTTACCAATGATCTACTACGTCGTCTGAGCTGCCCGATGGTGGGCGGTGGCCAGTGGTGTGACTTTCAACCTGGAAAAGTGTGAAGTAGTGAAATTAAGCACTTGTAGGCTTCAGAATGCGAGTTACACTCTCTGCAACGAAAGCTTGTCCTGCACCACGTCAGGGCGTGACTTGTGTCTAGTTCTAAAAGAGAAAAAGGACACACGCGTGGTGTAGCTGGGGCATATGAGGTCACGTGCTTTACACACAGACAGCTAGGTGAACTTATTCCTGAACTCTTTCTAAGGATGCACAAAATATACGTCAGGCCACACCTTGAGGAGCACAGTATCATTGCGCCCCCACTGCTTAGAAGAAACGTGAACCTTTTGGAAAGTGTCCAAAGACGGGCAACAAATGGGGTGGTATCTCCTAAACAAACCGTATCGTGAACGGCTAGAGGAATTACCACTCTTCACACTTAGCTACCATCGGCTTAGGGGGGATTTGATTACTGCCTACGGGATAAAAAACGACCACAATCACCCAAACAAAGGTGCTCTGCCATTGAGTAGGTAAAGGCTTCCTCGTAGAAATCCCATAAGGATAGCTCACCAGAGGGCGAGGAACCTAGTGCACCCCCGCTTCTTTTCACTGCCGGTTTGCCGTCCCTGTAATTCTTTACCGACAGATTTAGCTAAAGCACTGTTCGTGGACAGCTTTAAGGGAAGACTGGACAATCATGCAGCGACACAAGGACTGCGTCCAAATGGCCTATCCCCTTAAAATCTCAAACACTATTAATGGGTAGACATCGTTTTACTTCTCCACATTTTCTCCTGTCTTACTCTCCTGACTACTTCATCTACTACACTTGCACTTAGTATTATTGATATTATATATGTATATATATATGCATACATAAAGATATATATTTTATATACATATCAACTTAAAATTTCATTAACTGCATTTTTTCTTTTAGTCTGCACAACCCACGCTAATCATATCTGTTATTATTATCTCTTCTTTTGTCAACGACACTAAAGGACTGAGTGGTGAAAGGATCAACTCCATTCCTAGTAGTAACATGGTCCTAACACACCAAATACTACAAGCAACATAAAATGAATCCTAGCGCTACTCCTTTTCGAGTCAACGAAAGCCACGACAGTCGAATGTTCGGATGAATTACGCAGAAGTTAACCGTAGACCAGAAAACTTAACCTCACAACTAAGAAGCGAGCACAAAGAAACCAAACTGGTTTACATTAGTTAGTAAAAACGATATTGGATATTGAATGTCCAGCGGAATCTTATTTTGAGGTACATCTTTGCAATGCCGGATGTATACTCTTCTGCAGAAAGAATGACGAAAGACTTCTACAGAAAAGCCTTCTAAAAATTAAAGCCAACTATATTTATTTAGCAAGAACAACATTTGTTGGTATGCTTCAAGTTTCACATCTCCGACCTTGCGCGATTACAATTTGTAGGTCGTCTGAGGATGCCCGTGCTGAGCCCGTTGGAATTTCGTGATTGTGTTGTGGATAGTCCAAACTTTAGAAAAGCTTTGTCAGACCATGAGGCTGACCTAAAAACGGCAAACAGGAAAGTTAAAAATGTATTGGTGAACACCAGAAGAGTTTTTGAAGCTATGGAGAGTAAGCTATTAGTGATATATTAGTTTGCATGTTATTCATATGTTTAATATTTTGACTCTGAAGTTGGATTAATTATCTAATACATCTGGAAAAATCGTCAGTCTCTTAATTGCCTGTATATTTCAGGCAGTGAAGAAAGAATGCTAGTTGGTGCTGAACTTTAGCTTAAATTTAAGCTAAGTGCACTTAAGTGCTGAAATTATCCCAAAAATGCAGTATACGCTGAAATAACGTGGCTAGACTGGAAAATAGCGCAGAATGCTATTTGGTGTGGAGATTTGTTCTACTTCAGCATATTTGCATTAGATACTCATAGTAGTAGGTTTTACCAGCATGATATCTGCATTGTTGGAAAGTCGGGTAAAGGTACTATGGTTAAATTCAGCTACAAAAGCGTATACGGCCTCTCAGAGGAGTGTCATTAGAATCTTTTCAATGACTAAAATTCGCCTTAATATTTCCAGTAATTATCTTTGTTATAACAAAGATAATATTGAAAACTATAGTTCTTTAAGCTCGCTTTTTGATTGTAAGGCAGAGGTTCCAGATCTTCGGTGAACTTATGCGTAGTAAATCCCGCCACTCGACTGCTTTAGCTTTGGTAGACTCCAAGAGGAGTGGTGCGAGGATTGGTCAAGATGTGGTTTGTAGTGTGCAGTATGTTAGGACTCAGTTGCTGCCGTGAATCGAGTGTGACCTAACACCCGTTGGTCATTCGGTGTAGTCATAAAAGTAGAATAATAATAGGTTGTAGTGTAGATAATATAGGTTGAGATAAGTGAAATAATAAAGGTGAAATAATAAAGAAAGAAAGAAAAGATAGAGTAGTCGGTACGGTGGGAGAAGACAGGACGGGTCGTGGGGATTTAGCTTGTATGCTTATCCATTGACAGTGTGGTTTCAAATTTTAAGAGGGTAAGCCATTGAGACACAAACCATGCATTTCTGCATGATTGTCCAGCTTCCGCTTAAAAGTCTCCACAGATGGAGCTGTAGTTACGGCCGCCGGTAAAGCGTTCCAGAGACGGCAAACTCGAAGCGAAAAGAATTGCAAACGCACTCGAGTCTTTGGTCTCTGGTGTGCTATCCTTAGCGGGTTACCTCGTGGAAGCCTATAATCACTTAATGGCAGGATGCTCTAATTAGGGTGGGCCTGGTCATTTAGGATCTTATAGACGGTGATGAGGTCTCCCCTGTGACTACGGTAACTACGTGTGAAAAGACTTAATTTCTTCAGTCTTTCTTCATATGATTTGTTGCGGAGGCCGATCACCCATTTTGTCGCTTGTCTCTGGACACTTTCTAGAATGTTAGCATCCGTTTTGAGTAGTGGAGGAGCAATGACTTGTGAGAGTGCTTCATAATTGTGTACTGCATCAAAAGAGGTATATTTACCTTTGTTTACCTTAGAAATATTGAATTACTTAATTAATCCCCAATAAATTGTTTTCTCTTCGATGCAAACTTGTCCATTGTAGTACCAAATTGTTTTTGTTCAATTGTTTTATGTGTGGCTTATGAAAGTGCATGGACTCGAACTAATGCATATCTTTGTTACGTATGTTTATTTTCCATTCGAAAACCCAGTCACAAAGTGCAAAGGTATATTAGGTCTAAGATTCGAAAAAAAAATTTCCACTTCATTTCACTTTACATTGGGAGTGATTAAAAAAAGTGTCACTTTTTTTCCTTCACGTTTCCCAGTGGAACATAGGGCTTCAAGCTAGTGGCCTGAAGTTTCCGTAGCAGTGTTTATTTTACAGGATGGGGTTGCTAGCCTCATGCCAAACCTTTCCTCTTCACCAGCATTATTTCTGGCTTAGCGAGGTAAAGGAGTGCGTCTGTGGGGGATCGAACTCCGTCCTAATCGCTATGCCACCGACGCACAACGTGTCACTTAATAGTTGTTAAAATGGAGTGTAGGAATCACATGTGATTTCAAAGCAGTTTGAGTTCAGATGATGGTGTTGAAGTAATATTATTAATAACATGGGTATGGATCTGAAGCACTAATCATAAAACAGAATAGAAACATAACGGAGAGACTTTTGAGTTGTAAAGATGATGTAGATGAGCGTTGTTGCAACCAGTTAGGCGGTACATTAGCTTAGGTTTCAGTGTATTGAGTTCTATAATTACATTTAACTCAGTTTAGAAAGCTGGTGATGGTGTCGAGATTTAATATGGAATTATAATTCAAGCATAATCAGCTAAGCAACTCATCTTTGCATGTTGTCATGGAATAACACGTATATACAGCAATTCGGGAGATGCAAGTTTACTACGCGCACGAATGATACACATTACTTACATGGAACTGTGTACTTACTATTGATGATTAGATATTTTCTTTGGTTGTTATTAGGAAGTCATTTCGCTTATGGGTGTCAGTGGTTTAGATTATAAGGATAGTAGGTTTTTTTTGGCCTATGTTAATCCTTGCAATATATACCTCTGCTGGGATCTAACTTCTCTTTAAAAGCGTACGCCCGTCGAGCTGGTACTAATGAATCAGGTAAGGAGTTCCAGTCGCTTACCACTCTGTGAACGAATCTAAATGTATCCTAGAGGGGAAATGTTGGAAAAGTCAATCCTCAAATCGCCCTTTAATATAAGGTATCCGGGAGTTAAGTCACCTCTCCCACTTCGGTATGATAATGCGAAGAAATTTCAATGCTCCATGCTTTTCTCATAAGGAAGGTTTGAGATGCCAGTGACTAATTCGGTTCTTACCCTCTTGACTCTTTCCAAGGTATATACTTCCTTGTCCTTCTCTATGGCTGTGAGACGTGGCCATTGAGAGCGGAAGACATGAAAAGATTGTCTGTTTTTGACTACAGATGTCTAAGATCTCTTTCTCGCGTTAGGTGGTATAATAAGGTAAGTAATGTTGACGTTAGACGTAGAGTGTTGGGCAAAGAGGGAAAATCAATCGAAGAGGCTATAAAGTTACATAGATTGAGATGGCTAGGTCACGTGCTGCGCATGCCTAACCATCGCCTCCCTCACCCCGACGGGCATTACTAGCTGATATAGGTGCAGTTTGGAAAAGGGTAAGTGGTGGCCAAACAAAAACATGGCCTCATCAATCCATGAAATCCCTGACAGTTAAACTGAGTCAGGTAGGGAGGGAGATGCAGACTTTCGGGTTGGGGCCCACCCTCGGGACTCTAAGAATCAATGGCTGCAGACAATAGGTGACATGGCTAAAAATCGTTGTCAATGGCTTACGCAGATGTATTCAGTCTCTGTAATCTTTCATATTCCTTTCTACCATTACTCATTCTGTTTCACTCTTATATTTGTCAAAACTCTATTGATTCTCTTCACTCGTTTTCTTTTCTACCTTTGTGTGCTATTTGGAACGTGGCAACTCGAACTGCTGCACTTGGGTGCCAAGTTCTATGTTGAATCCAGCCAGCCAGCCAGTTGCTGACATACCTGTAAATCACTCTGAATGACACAGATACATTTACTCTTTTTAATCTCCCAGATCTGCTAAGTTGTCATGTTCTTCTGTGTCACATCCTTTCTGCGTCACATTTCTGCTCATTATCGTTCTTCTGAATCTCTTTTCTCCACTTTTGTGTAGTATATGGAGTGTAGCAACTCAAAGTGCTTCACTTCTTTGGGAAGTTCTATGTTGATACTCAATTAATCCCTTGTCGCTAGTCTTCTCTGACTTGTACTAGTAAAGCCTAGGACCCGGGTTGGAGTATAATTCATTAATTTATTTGATATACCATACACTCTCCGACAACCATTTTATTTATTTTCAGGCAGTCACATAACTTCCTGACTTCTCTTACGTAGTAATTTTTATTTCTAATTGTTCGATTTTACTGGTAATAGTAATTTTATGTCTTTGCTAGTGGCTTTATTTCTATCTCATACGTGTAATGTTGAACTAATAGGCAGAGCATTCAGTAATCAACCTCCATATTCCATCTAAATATGTATATTTGTCTTTAGGACTGCTCTTTTCTATCTCGTCATATTGTGTGGTTGTGCATTAATTGAAGTATGCGAAGTTGACTGACTGACTGACTGCTTTCAACATAGAACCTTGCACCGTTGTGCAGCAGTTCAAGTCGCCACACTCCGTGTAGCACACAAAGCCAGTGAAGAAAGTAAAAGAAACGTTTAACCTCAATATCGCTTACCCTATTATACCATTTCACACGGCATCTATGATCAAAGACAGATAGCTAGCTGGGCGTTTCATGTCTTCCACTCTCAATGGCCAGGTCTCACAGTGATAAAGGAGGACGGAGAGGACTGCTGAGCAGTAAACACGTCCTTTGGTCGATTGCCAGCCAGATATCACGTCTACGCCATAGATGGCGTAAACTGGCTTATGCGTAACTAGCCGTCTGTATCCGTGCTGAGATTTCGTCAGAGATCAACCAGTTGGGGTTGGCTCATTATTAAATATATTATTATTGTTTCCTTTAATTTCTAGAGGAGCATAGGGCTTCAGCCGTGCGTCTCCATTGCGTTCGGTTCTCTGCAAGAGTCTTCACCTGGCTCCAAGTCTTCCCAGACGTTTTCATCTCCTCTTCACATGACCTCCTCCAAGTCACCTTCGCACTGACGACCAACTAACTCGCCGCTTCCCATTTGGGTTGCACTCGAGTGATGGCCTGGTGTGTGATGTCACTTGATGATGGTTAGTTTTCTCAGAGTGTGGCCAATCCACCTCCATTTCTTCTTGCTTATTTGTTGCACAATCGGTTCCTGATGGGTTGGTTCACTACCAGAGATCTCTCCCTGTTGCTGATCTTTTCTGGCCACCTGATCTTGAGTAGTATTGAGCGAAGACAGCTGTTGATGAAGTTCTGTAGTTTGTGTGAGATGCTCTTTATGACGCGCAGTGCAAGTCTTTGATCCGTATAGTAAGTAGCACTGACTTCACATTGGAGTTGAAAATCCGGATCTTATTCTTCATGCTGAGTGCTGTTGACCTCCACACACACATTAGGTGTGGATCATTGCTAACT